ATGAAACTTCATCATTATATTAAAAAAGGCTAAAGTGAGCACAGTTCTTGTGGGGATGAAATCGAGCTAAAGAAAAAAGCTTTGGGCCTATTAAAATTGATAAATAACATTAAGAGATAACTGTAAATACAATAAATTCTACTTCTATAACAGTAAAACATATTTTGAATAATGAATAATTTGGTAATAATTAATCATTTCAATTCAGTACTCATTTCATCTGTTTTATTTTATAAATTCTAGAAGTATACAGTACATAAAAGTAAGTTTTAGATAACATCATGGGTGTTTTCATTTCCTTTCTATACCTTTCCCCCTCTAAACAAAGTAGAAGCAGGAATAAACTGCCCAGGGAACACTTTTTCACTGACAAAAACTGTTTCATCTACAGTCAGACTCTAAGGGCATGTTGTGGCCAGGCTGAGGGCAGACCGAGCTCTGTCCCAAGGTACTGACTGTAGTGGATGAGCCGATCCATGTGAATTTCTACAACCTTCACACAGGCTCATCTGCTCAGCTTCAGAGAGGATGGATATTAAAGAGGACAACAGTTAACTTTCAGGGCAAGTTGCAAAGTCACAAAGTTGTATTTAAGGAAAAAGACTAATTAATAATAATTACAGAATTCTTTTGTAAATAATGGACTTTGGAGCTTGATCTGAAGGTATTAAATTAGAATGAACATTATGATGGCTTTAAATTACATCTGGACCCACAGGTTCAATGGATATGTGAGTTCAGAATAGTAAAGATTCTGGTTACACAGAATGTGCTTGAAAAATTGGCCTTGTTTTAATATTATTTGATTTTTATAAACTCTTAAGAGCTAAACATAACATTACAACTTTTAGTAATGTAAAGCATTTTGTTTAACCCGAATCTAAATCCTTATTACTATCCTTGCAAACTTTTATCCGTGGATATTAAATTGATAGAAAACTACATCATAGAGTTTTTGTTCTGATAAGCAATCCATTATGGGCCTGATTTTCAAAAAGGTTCTGTATTAACACACATGCAATTTGTTTGCACATTCAAAAACAATCTTAATATCTGATGCAAATTGATTTGCATGTGTATTTTAGCCTGCAGCATGTGCAAACCTTGTTGGCATGTGTGTCTTCATAAAATGCAGAGCATATTCTAATAAGCAAAACGTGCAAATATATGGGTGGAGGGTATGCAAACATAAAATAATGACCGCCTGCAAGGTCATTTATCACAACGCAATGTAATGGCGATCACGGTTTTCTAGGCTTATTTGTGTTAGCTTAAATATCAGGTGTGTAACTGTGTGCGTCTCTAACTTGTGCCAAGAGAGATTTTTGTTTTACCTTCAATGTTCTTTAACGGCTCTACACACAAAGTAAAGTTGCATTTTATTAAATTATCTACACTGTTTTTCAGTATGTTGGGTCAAGCAGCTTGAGAGGAGTTGGCCATTGAGTTGTTTGTAAATGTAACCATAGCTCAGGCCCTGTCAGGGAGGGGCGGTGGGGCGTATCAATGAGCAGACGGAATCAGCTTTTCCAGATTTTGTAACTGATATTTTAATACTTTTACAATTAAAGGCACGGCATGTAACTTTTGGCCCCTAGGGGCTCTAGACTTATAACTTTCACATCTTTCACACCCCTCGTAGCTTTTGTTTCTAGGATTCTAGCTTCTACTAAACATTGAAAATAATAACCAATAATCAGCTTTACACCCAGCTTCTTCTTTCAGTCTGCGCCAATGAACAACGTCCTTTCCAAAATAGACTCGTTTTCCTCGTGCACAGTCCCTTTCACGTTTTCTTTTTTTTAGTCTCCCCAGAAGGTTTAAAGTTTTCCCTTGCCTCAGCCATGATCAGAAGTAAATCAGGCAAAAAAAAAAAAGAGTAGCACAAAAGCCTTACCTTCATGACTATATAAGAGCCTGTGACCATAAAGCGATATGTTCTTCCAGGTCACATGACCTGCTTAATGACGGTGTGTCATCTCCAAACCTACATAGTCAGTATTTCAAGAGGGGAGCCCCGCTCATAGCAACGATAGTTTCAAGCACTGTATATTGGCCTGGGGAATATATTAAAATAAATCATGGCAGATCACCAGCAACTTGCCCTTTTATTGCACGTGGAATACTTTTTTTTCTCACGCAAATTAGTTTTCCATGTTTGAAATCTTTGAAGATCAGGCCCTGTATGTTTTAGAAACCCTTATTCCCAAAAAAACATCTTATTTTGATAGCACATCTGATGTTTCAACATTATGATTAAAATTGTATAATGGTTTATCTGAACTTTCTCTCTACTGCTCTAAATCCAGATGTTCTATCTTGATAAAGTGTTTATTTATATGTGTAATTTATACAGTCTATTAGAAGCTGATATATGTTTCTGCACAGTACTAATCATGCATGACATTTTTCCAAAGTTGCATGTTTCTACAGTGTTATAGATCTGATCTGATCTTGAGCGATTAACTCTTTATTTTTCTAATCCTGCAGCCTCTGTAGTGTCGGTCCAATCCCAGCCCTGTGAGAGCCGCTCTTTGCTGCAGGTTCCAGATGCATCCCCTCTTCATCCCCAGTCTACTCCCTCCCTCACTTTACCCCGCATTGCCCCGCCAACACCTGGCCCCTCACCACGGGCCCTGCACAGACAGGTGAGAAAGTACCAGCAAACACAGTTGGTGTCATGCAGTATCATAAACAGTTATTTTTTCCACTTAAGGATTAATTCTGCTTTCCTATTTTTGTCAGTTAAAATTCTAGATTATTAAACAAACTTTAACATGTATAAAATGTATAACCTGATTCAATGTATAACCTGATTCCATTTATCAGAAGAAAAAACTATCCAAACCAACAGGACTCTCTAGGAAAGAAGAATATTAAGTCATTTCGATTTAACTGTAATCAAGCCGAATGTTTTTGGTTTATTTTTGCTAGACCCTCGTGGCCTGACAACCGGATTGGCTATGGAATCCAAAATTACTTAAATAGAACTTGTCTAACAGCATGAAGTGGGCAAATTGTGTCAAAGGGTAGCACAACAGGACTCAACTGAAAGAATTGAAAACAGATGTGAAATGCATTTAATTGACATCTACAGTATCAGACTGGAAAGGGTAACAACGCTGCTACTGGGGCTATTGGACTACAACGATCACCAGTGAGAGTGTTAATCAAGAACCTTTCCTACATAATGTGCTGAATATTTTCTCAGTAGATGCAACTTTAAACTTTGAAATGAAGGTTCAACTTCCCACATTCAAAGTGCAGCCATAGATAAAAATAAGATTCAATTGATAGATTTTGGATTTGGAGCAAAAGGTTTCACATAGGATTTAATCAGGGTCATGAATACAAATACTATCAATCTTCCTGATTTGTAGTCATACAATTAAAAACAGTGAATCATTCTCCTCCCACTACACAGTTATGGGCTGCTTTGTGGCGGTTTATTTCATAAAATGCCTTTAAATCACTTTTTAGATGGATCTCTATGCCAATATGTTTAAAACATGTTTGAAATTTACTGTATATTGGCAACTGCAAGGTTTAAATATAGGAATTTATTTGTTTTTTTTTTCATAAAGCCAATGAGACTGAAAGTGGCATACTGCTGAGTCAATGTAAAGCTCTTAATAATTTATTTCCAATTCAATTTTATTTTCTTAACTTATCCTGAAGTTAAGCACCAGACTTTTACTCAGTTTTTAAAGACATTTCAACACCTATCCAGGAGTCTTTATCAATTCTGTTGGTTTGCACCAAAGCAAACTCTAGTTGGAGCACTGATGAGTTTAAGCAACATGGAGGTCCATCCTCCTGCAAACTGTCCAAATCAGATGCAAATCAGATAACCATCCCTTGTTCTTCTGGATTGTTGGAGTCTTCTGTTTTGCATGGGCTATGTGATTGGTCTTTTGAATCATAATGCTTATGCTAATGTTTACGTTATTTCTTTGGAATGATTTCCATGACTCATTATCTTGAAGTTGTGTTTAGTTTAAAGCCACTGATAGTTGCTAACTGAGCCATTTTATTTGTTATGCAGGGGGCAGTTAAAGTCGATTCTGTGGAATCCCAGAGCTGTGAGCAACAGGAGAGGTCCAGCTCAGCTCATCTACCCTCCCGCTCATCTTCCTCTCTCTCCCCATTACCCCCTCTGTGCTCTTCCTCCTCAGCCCTCCCCCCATGCTCCAAATCTCCCTCTTCTCTTCCTCCATCGCCATCCTCTCTCCTGCCTCTCCCATACCCTCCATCCTTTCTACTCCCTCCACCTCCCTCACCACGCCTGCCCTCTCGCTCCAGCAGTCTTCGCAGGCCCAGGGCCCCATCTGCCATTTCACTTTCGGACCCGGCCGACGCAGAGGTGTATCATATCACCAGCTCCGCTCGCCATAGGTGGAGGGATGAGGAGGGAGGGGAACAGGACAACAGAAGGAAGGCAGGCCGCAGCCACTCTCTGTCCCCTTACGGCTCGCCACACTCCCTAGATTTGATTCCCACGCTGCCCCCTCCATCCAACAGAAGCACCCTCAGTCTGCTCGGGGAAGGATCGAAAGACATCAAGAAAGGCTTTAGTGTTGATAACCATGGCTTCCTGGAGAAACCTCAGTCAGAGCCAGCAGGTCCCTTGGATGAACAGCGGCGTCACTCTATCGAGGTTTGCCTCCCAAAGGCCGTCATAACCACTGACAGCCAAAGTTTTACACTGGAGACCCACCGGTCAGACAAAGGCACTCAGGCCTTTCCAGTGAGGGTGCAATCAGTTGGTGGTAGGCAACGAAAGAAGAAGACAAGCCCTCCCTGCATATCCATCCACCCACCTGTAGAAAAGGAACAGCCCCTGCTACCCTCACCTCCAAAGCTAGCTGACTGCAGCATGATGCTTCGGCGCAGGACACCATCCAATGACTTAACGCTGCACTCAGACACGCCTGCAGATGGGCAGCTCCGCACACAGATGCAAACACCACTAACACCAATCCACGTGCCACTGGACGCACATTCACCGTCACACACACTGAGCCCATCAAAGGGATCCACCCAGACACACACACCCCCGCCTCACATCCCCATCAGCCCAAATGTCTTCATTCAACCCCATGCACCTCTTCTACCAACCGTTATGCCTTTCTCACAGCCTGTCATGAGGCACTCCCCCCTCGCAGGAGACTGCATCCCGTTACCCCGGTTCACCTATGACCAACCACAGTCCAGGTACACAGGCGAGCCAGAATCTGCTGCCTGCTCTTCCCCTTTCAACAACAGACTGGGAAGCAGTCCTGGTTTTAGTGCAAAGAATCGGAGGACCGCCCAGTGAGCTTTCAGAGTTGCATTCAGGAGATGCATTATAAAGTCTTTAAAGGTGAACTAGAAACCCCTCAGCTGACCTCAGCAGTGTTTCATGTTGAAGAAAGAATGAGATAATATTTTGTTTAGTTGAAAAAAAAAATATTTGCAGAAAGACATGGGTACAAACTCCTTATGGAAAAACAGTTGACGGGAAAGGTTTTCTTTCTTTTGCGGGAAAAAAGAAAAAAAAAAAAGAAATCCACTGAGGCCGGACTATTATAAGTATCACTCACTGTACTGTGTCAATGGCTGATCCCCTCACCACGCAACAGGACTGAAGCCACCTTACTCTGTAGCCAAAGTTTTTTTTCATACACTGTCCTCACCCACGTGAGCAAATCAGGAAGCAGCGTCTGGCTGGTGACCGTCAACCCTTTTTTTCCCCTTTTTTTGTAACGGGGCAGGCGGTTTGTGAAACGCAAACGTGGGAGGGGGAACAGTGGGATATGCAACTTCAGGTTTTCTGCAGAAGTTCTGCTCACCCCTTCTCTGCTCCTCGATCACATTGATCAGAGAGAGAGAGAGAGAGCGAGTGTGTAAATGAGCTGTGCTAAGTGCGAGTTTTGTCAGATCCATCTTCACCCAAGTCGAACTTGTTCATTCTCGTGACAACAGAGAGAGGGGGGGGGGCATGGCAGAGCTATAGCTTTCTTTTGTCAAGTGTAAATAAAAGGAAAAAAATACTGTATTTGGTGAGATTTAAAGATAGCTCTATCCATATGCACATATTTTTATAGAGGTCTACATATAATGTTTTTGCACACAAGTTTGAATTTCAAGTTGCTCGTATTTCCTCTGGTGTCCTCTTGTGAATGTATGTTTCTTGTAAAAGATCTAGAGAGAGTTGTGAAGACGGTTGACCCTCCTCTCAAACTACAAGGGGAGGGAGTTTATTTTTCTATTTTGACAAAGCATCAGAGGAGAACTGGCGTGTGATGTGTTTTTTCTGTAGTTTTGTCTTAGACTTTTTGTGTAACTGGTGTCTCAACAAGAGTCTGGAGAAGCAGGCTCAGTGGTGCAAACAAGTTTCATTTAGATGGGTCTAATCAATATAGAGAAATAAATAGATGTATATTTAAAATAATACCTTTAGGTAAAGTTTGAATAACTTTTTATGAGTTGATTTTTAAAGTAAGGGATTTTTTAGCTGGGTTTAGTGAACAAATGATTATGACACACTTTATGAAATTACAAATACCGTACCTAATCTGGAACCATCTGTATTGTCCTTCTAAAATCTTCTTATCCATTTAACTTTTTCACATTAGTTCTTAATTCCACTTTCCCACACCACACAGTGAACAAGGAGAAGTTTGATCAGATGAAGCCAAAATATTAAATCATTTTGTATCGTATATGCAAAACATAATGTGTGGCAGAAACATAACACTGCACCTACCCCGAAACCACTATACCCATGGTAGCATTAGTACCAGCATATGTTGTTTTTTTTCTTTCATTAAGGAAAAGAGAGTTGGGCATTGTTGGAAGATGGATGCAGCCATGAAAAGGACAAACCTGGAAAGAAAAAACTGTCAGAGGTTTAAAGTTTTAAACATATAGCCAGAGGTTTTATGGAATGGTTTCAATCAAAATGTATTTTAACGGCCCAAACAAAGTCTAAATAGAGTCCAAAATCCAATTGAGATTAATGTAACAAACTGACAGCACACTTTATATAGATCTTCTCCATGCAGTTAAACTGAATTTGAGCTATTTCAAAAATAAGAAAAATGGACAAAGCTGGTAGCAACACACTCTCAAAGACTTGCATCTGTCATCACAGCTACTTAGAAGGTTTCCATTTTTATATTTTTTATTAGTTATTTGCAAAGGTTAATTTTAAAACACTATCATATAAAATCCCATCATAAAATAATAAAGTTGGTGGTTGTCCTGTGACTACATGTGAAAAAGTTGAAGGAGTATGCATAACTTGAAAAAAAAAAGGCTTAAAAGTGGCATCACTGAGCCTCTCTTCTGTGGCTGTATTTCGGCTGGATCAGCTCTGACACCTGTGTTTCTGTACATCTAAAGACAACCAAACTGACTTTCTAAATATGTGTAGCCAGAGTGCAATAATAATATATACATGTGGAAAATATAGTGACATCCACACTACATAAGACAGCCACATCCTTGTATTCATACATACTGTAGAACTGTTATAAGTATATGATATATAAACAATTTTTTTTATATGATGGTAAAGGGGTATTACTATTTCTAGCGGTCATGCTACTATAGGTACGCACGGCCTTATTGTGGCTGTGATGAGGCGGGTGTGGCCGTGGGTTGGATACTGCAGATTTTGTTTCTCCAAAAGCTTCGGCCGACCTGCCTGAGGTGTTACTGTACGCATAAGAGTGACATGCATCTCTACTGAGGACTCAATAAGCCATTTGTCATCCAACATTGTTTTCCTTTTTTTTTTACTCCAAGGTAGACCAGCAGTTCACCTTTCAGAATAGATCATCTTTATTTCCCTCATCAGCTTTACATTAACACTGGTTGATGACAAAACACAGAAAGAGTCTGGATGTTATTGTACAGAGCCATACTTCTTCTCTGACACAGCACAATTGTAATTGATACAGTTGTTTTTCAGCATTGTCTGGTTTGGCATATGTGCATGAGAAGTACACTTTCATTAATGTCTAAAGACAGCTGGCTGGGACAGCGACATTTGTTTTATTTTATTTTTTCCATGTATCTTATTTTGAATGTCTTGTAGTGGTCAGCATGATGCATGCACACGTCCTCAGCGACCCGAGAGAAACCCAAAGTGCTTTAATACTGTCATTGATTAAATAAATTAGGTTTAATTATCAACCAAATCAAAACATTAAAGGGTAAATGTCATCATGTCTAACAACTTTTCTACTTCAGTTGTGTTTCGGCTTATAGCTGATAGTTATATCTAGATCCATATTTATAAAGTACAACTGAAAATTACCATCGTAATGTTTCACTAGACTATAAAGCTAAAACTCAAGCTTCTAAAGTGAGCATTTATTGAGTAATTATCCAATAAGGAGGAGGAATTCAGGTGTCCAAGGTGCTGTTTTACATTAGAATAATGCTCTATGTCAAATCCAGTTGATCAGTAATTTGCAGCCAAAATGAACCCTGAAAAAAATATTTGAGAATCTAAAATTTGGTTATTTTCTCGCGGTTATTTAGCTAACTGTAATTTCTGCTTTAGTTCTGACCAGCATTGTAATTGATCCTCCCTTGGCATCAACACAATACTTTATATTAGCGAGCTGTTCATTGGATGTTTACAATAAAGTAGCAGTAAAGGGAAATTGTTGAAAATATTATGTTTTTTCACATTAAATCAGTCCAAGTTTTATGGTTATGGTTGTGTAACTACTCTAAGTCTATATGGCAGTCAAAAATTAAGGATATTTGGTCTGGATGTCATCATCCCGGCGGTCACTGCAAACTAAAATATTTAATGCTTCAAACAATCAAGATTTTTAAGCCTCCGAATCCGAACTCTAGATTTTGATGATATTTGCCCTTAAGATGAGCAGAATATCTGCTCATTTGTGTTTGGGAAAATTGCAAAAAAATATTTCAAGCAATCTTAGTTGATGAATATTTAAAGGTATAGTGGAGGATTGTCATGAATTTTTGAAAAGACCCGCCCTCTACACTTAAAAAAAAAAATGCACATGCACAACACTGTACACTCTCCCGAGGAGCAACGCCTATTAAACGCGTGCGAGAGCGTGCACAAGCCTGTTTCTCCTCGTGCACCCTCTGTTTAAAAGTTGCTGTTGGCATCACTCATACAGGCTTACTTTCCAAAAGAAGATTTGCGATTTTTCCACCATGTCAGACTCACCAGTAAAAATAGGAATGAGAACGTAGGACGGCCTTACGTAAAGTATCACCAGAATGATTGACAATGAGGAGGGTCAATAATTTTGATGATCCACCCAGAAAAAAAAAAAAAAACTCCACTATACCTTTAAAAAATCTGACTTATTATAGAGACGTGACTTACATAAAAAGGTTACTTGGAGATCCTAAAGAGAGATCAGTAGTAAAGATGAATATAGCCATCATAATTACATTCAGTCATTACTTTTTTGCACGCTCATTAGCATTTCCTCTCCCACTCTGTATGCATGTTGAGGTCTAAATAAAGATAAACATAGGTAACTGATAAGTAGAGTGTGTCAGCCTCACATGTTGCTGCCTATGAGCAGGATTGAGTGCTGGTGCATTCCTTTATAGAACTGTTCTTCCAAACTGGGAGGCAGGTAAGAACATGGACTTGGATTGATTGTCATTGCTTCCTGAACATCGCACAGTTCTTAATTCTCCCTGACATTTTTATACAGTACTGTATGTGGCCGTCTTGTTTCTTGTCCTTTTTTCTGCACAGATTATCTGCAATGGGGAGATTTTATGTAGTGTTAGGACAGCTTCTTTTCTACCTCCCTGTTTTTGTTAGAGCACAGACAGCCCCTTTCTAAAGGTATAATTGCCCTGTTAATTAATACAGTTTGATAGAAAGATAGCAGAATCTTTTTTTATGATTTACAGATCTTTGGATCTTGATATATAAATCCCGTTTTTGAGGAAAGCGCTTTTAAATATTGCATGTTCTGATTTGATGAAAAAAAAAAAAACTTTTGGGGAGGAATCATCTGGATGTTTTAGAGATTTTGATATTTAACTTTTCAGATGTTACAATTTGTAGATTGATTACCTAATTGCTTTGGGCTCTGATTATTTGTATCTGACAAGATCGTGATCAAATGACCGTATTCTTTATGGTCCAATGCAATATGGCGTCATCAGTTGCTGTAGGAGGCCCATTGTCCTCTTTATACAGTTTTATAGAAAGAAAAGCAAAGAAAAATAGCTTTTTTTCACTTTTCCTTATAATACTCTGAACATTTTAAAACTCTGGTGATAGTGAAACTTATATATTTTACCTAGGAATAGCTTTGGCCCTGATGCTCTTTGAAGGACCGATTAGATTAGTTGCATTTTGTTGGTCAACACTGAAGTGATGATCATGCTCTTTATGTGGCATAATTCTTTCACAAATACAACCTGAAAGTTAAACTGTGACAGAACATGACATTATTTAAATAAAATGCCTTGTTCTTTTTTTTTCTCTCTGTTTGCTTTTTCGTTTTCTTTTGCTTGCTTGCTTTTTTGCTTGCCTGTTTTTTCTTTCAGCCCTTTAGCGGTTGACCCAAGCGTCCCCTCCCCATCCCTTCCCCCCAGGCCTTACAAGAAGGGGAGCTGCTGTTTTTGTCTATTTGATGAGACTCTGTTTGTCTGCAATAAGATTTTATTCCTATGTTTAGAGGAAAAGAAAGGGGACAGGATGCATCTTAAGGCTCAGCAAATGGAAACTACCAAATGTCTTGTTGCTGATTACTGTGTGATGACCAACCATTGTCCTGAAGGTTGTTTCCCTGTCAATTAAAAAAGTTAAAAAAAAAGGTTCTTTTTTTTTATTTCTCACTCAGTCTAATTATCTCTTGTGTTTTTCTTGATTTGTTGAACAATAATGCAGCTTATGCACACGTATTTTACAAGGTTATACAAGAATGTAAATTAAATAAGATTATTGGAAATCACCATTTCATATTAAAGTTATCTAGGGGCCCTCTACAGAGGAATCAAGAAAGTTATTTATCAAACCCATCCTGAGTAGAAATGTTTCTAATACATCCAAAATGTGTTTTATTAAACTGGAAATAATTCTTCTAAATCACAATCAAATTGTGTTGACCTATGACAGAAAGCCTGTGCAAAGGTGTACTGTGTAGTTCCTCAAACAGGAAGAACAAAATTTCATCCTTCCACTTTGTTGTGGCACCATGTAGGGATGAGGATGGCATAAAGTAACCACTAGATGGCAACACTCAACTGTAAAATGTTGAGACTCTCAATGGAAAAAGACATGAAATGGATTGAATACAGCATTAATAACAAAAACAATGTCAAACCTTTTCGTAAAAGATGCAACGCTCTAATATCAAATGATCTGAAGGTGAGTCCTAAGAATTGGAGTTTTCCCTGAACTGTATTTGAGACAAGTCAATAAGGCAATATTTTACGTTCAGTTCAGTTAGCCTTATAACTACTTCTGTATAGACACACTGGGCTTAGAATCATGATGTTATATTCTCCCCTCTCATTTACTGAATGCACATTGGTATTTAGATTTCAAATGATGATTTGATCATTAGCACTTCTATCAAATGAAATCAGTTTCTCCCCTAGTTGAATCATTATACTGTATAAGTGTGATTGATCACCTGCTAGAAGGTCTAATTTCCATAGCTACAGGTAACTTCTTCTGTAGATTCAAGAACTCCATTAAACAAAGCCTATCTAAGAACTTGAACTAACCAAAAGGATATTTAAAAAGCATCCCACTTTTCCCCACCCCAAAAAATCTATTTGAGAACTAAACTTACACATTTCTGTTTCGAAAACACTGCAAAGCCATTTCATTTTCAGGGAATCAGAGTGAGGGTGATTTTTACGATTTGTGAAAACATGGAACAGCAGTGGACCTCCTTAGGAGTTGATGACCATCTTACTCCCTGGAAGTCACAAAAGAATGTAGAACAATATTTAAAGGGCCAAAAGACTCACTGGCCTCAAGTAAGGTAAGTGTTCACACTTCAAACACATGAAAGTAAAAAAAATAAAATAACATCCATAACAGAGTTTCAAATTAAAATCTGATATTGACCAAAAAAAAGCAAAAAAGTATGTGTCATTTTTGCACAAAACATCCTGATGACCCAAAGATTTTGGTCAAAGTATTGTTTGGACAACTGATGCAATAGCAAACCAACTCAGAAGACATGGGTTCTACTATATTTGTATTAATACCAATTACCTTGTCAAATGTGTTCCTGGTGTAATTATTTTGAGATTTGTTGTTGCTTTAGAACCAAAACTACAATTGCAGAAAAGTTCTCTTACTTGAAAATCCAGGATATGAGTATACAGCTATCAGTAACCTCAAACACTTTCGTTATACGGCTAGATATTGATAGGACATTTCTGAATGGTCCAAAAAAAAAAAAAAAGAGAACAAAATTGGCCCAAACATTTTCTAGGATTATATTTGATTTGAAATATATGTTAAACATGTTTTTCACTCAGAATTAAAGGTGTGTTAGTAGCTGCAGGTGATGGGCCGACAAATGGTGGAATGACTCGGGAGCCTTAATGCTTCAGTTAGTCTGGTGACATGAATCTGGAAATGGCAAACAGGTAAAATTCAGTAATGAGGTGAGAATATAAGAAACAAATTTAGATAGTAGAGAGAGATAACTCAGAAATAAGAGATGAGGCTGAGAGGCTGTCAGTGATGTTAATCATCGAGCATGGAGTGAAAGCTCAGTGCCTCATTTATCCCCAGCCCTCTAATAAAGATGATGAGATCCTCCAACAGGGATCTAATTTAAAGCAGTTGACAACAGGATCTCCAACAGCGATCTTCTCTGGGCCGAATGCATTACTCAGTGAGGACCATGTACTGACTCCTATTGTCTTCCATTGAGTCTCAGTCATTTTCAAGCCTTTCTATGCTCGTACTCTGACAATAACCCTAAAGCTAATCATTACCAGTGTATACCTCACATTAGCCTTGAACTTAAGTTAGTAAAGTAGCTTGTGAGGAGCAGGTAAATGTCCTAAGTTTACAGCCATCATCAATTTGATGTTAAAATCAGAACATTGGTTCTCACCCTGATACCAAGACAGGAGCACAAAAACAAGTACACACACAATGGAGCCCTGATAATTTGGCCTTAAAAATGAAATCATCACTGGATTTAGTATTTAGTCAACATATATTTTTTTTATAATTGTTTTTGATCTTTATTTTATTATTAATTTATTATATTACAATAAAAAAAAAAACATAAAAGAGTTGACAACATTTAACATGTTAACCCAATTACGAAAAAAAAAATAATAATACAAAATTATGGTTTTGGTTTATATTTGGTCAATTTCTAGAGCCACATTTGTATGTCATTAAAGTTTTAGATGTTAAAGATGTTAGCGATAAAGCTATTTAGTAATGAATATTCAACCCTGCGTCAAATCATTTGCATCCTCAAGTGTTTTTTCTCCGGACCAAATCCTTGATGCAACTTCATTTTCCCTTGAACTCTATTATCCTCCCTGTTGTAGCTGCAAAAGCTGCATCCCAGCAAGATGCAGCTTCCACACTCATGTTTCACTGCAGGGATTTTTTTTTCAGGGCAAGTGAGATTTCTGCCACAATTTTTACACTGTAGCCAAAACATTAAAGCAGTTTTTTGCATGTCTTAGATAAACGTCAGATGTGTCAGAGGTATAACTATCAGTTTTTCCTGCAAATTTTCCAAACCAAGTTGTGGATTTCTTGAACTCTCCCATAGTCATCGACTTTTAGTAGGTTAAATGTTCAGATTTTCACAAGTGATTGTGTGAGCAGTTCAGCAGTTAACCAGTGGTTAGATGGAATGGTTTGGTTCAGTTGGTCATTGTCATTTGTCCTCTGAGAATAAAGCAAAACCTTACATATGAATTTTTACATATTAGCATGTATTTTAGGATATTATGTCTATAGAAGACAAATTTGGATGTACTTATCGGTGTTACACATTTACAGGTTATGAAAAAAATACACCACTAGATGCTCCCATCACCCCACTATCAAGTATACGTTTTAACTTTGTTTGATAGGGAAGCAATGTCAGCTATAATATGTTGCTGTAAGAAGTAAAGGTCAAGATGACAGATTCCCACCTCCTTTGACAAAAGCAGCA